GGGACCAGACCAGGACTGAGATCGGGACTGACACCGGGACTGAGACCAGGACTAGACTAGTACCATACTGAGACTGAGACAGGGACCAAACCAGGACTGAGACCAGGACTGAGACCGGGACGGAGACCAGGACCAGACCGGGACCAGACCAGGACTGAGACCAGGACTGAGACCAGGACTGACCAGGACTGAGACCAGGACTGACCAGACCAGGACTAGACCAGGACTGAGACCGGGACCAAACCGAGACAAGACTGGGAGCAAACCGGGACAGAGACCGGGACCCAACTGGGACCAGACCCAGACCAAACTGGGACCAAAAGAGGACTGAGACCGAGACCAAGACCGGGACTAAGACCGGTTTAGTCCTGATTTAGTCCTGGTTTAGACCTGGTTTAGTTTTGGTTCAGTCCTGGTTCAACCGGCATCGAGGTTTAAGTCTTGGAATTTCATGTAAACACAAAATCAAAAACTGTAAAAACGAATCATTATTGTTTTTTGTTTGTTTGTTTGTTTGTTTTTGGAGAAAATAGAAGAAAAGAAGAACATTGTAGTTTTTTTTGTTTTTTTTTCTTTTGGTTTTATTTTGAAAACCGAATGAACAAATACAATACACGGATTGTGGAGCACTTCCTGTATTTTATTGTCTTCCACGTGATGTCATAAGGTGGAGCAGAGTGTTTTCAATTTGAGAGAAAAGTGTTTGAAAGTTTGTGATTTCAACATGTGTGAAAGAAACAAAACACAACTCCAGGTCTGTTTTTCGATGAGGAAACATTAGAACATAGATCAGAAAACCCTTTAAATCACAACTAAAACTTTTTTTTTTTTTTTTTTTAGATTTGAAGATGTTCACTGAGAGTCTCTGTTCACAGACTCACCACCACATGTGTTCTGTTTGTGTTCTGGTTCATTTTACAAGCTCCAAACACAAACCCGCCCTCTGAACGGTTTGACTCTTTGTGAAATCAGATTAAATTAAACCTGTACCTGATTTTTCTTCCACATGTTTGAGCAATTTTTTGTCTTCTGTACAATAAGCCACTTGTAAAGGTTCTGTATTAAGCAAAACTGACTCTTGTGAAGCTTTGAGACATGTTCGAATGCTGTTACCTCGTCGAAAACAGACCTGGAGTTGAGTTTTGTTTCATTCACACGTGTTAATTATTAATCTGTGTGCATCCTCAAATCTTAAAATGCTCTGTTCTGCCTAATGATGTCATGAAGCTCCTCTTACCTGCAAAACTTTAAGAGGCAGGAGTGCTACTTGTACACAGATTGTGCAAGATTGTCCTTTTGGTGCTCTTCAGTGTTATCATCAGACGGTTTCACTTCGTGGAAACCGTCTGACCTCACAGCGTTAGGATTCGTTTGCTCGACAGACGGCGGGTACTTTTTTTATTTAACCAATCACTGCTGTTTGGTTGTGACATATGTAATGCACCAAATCCCGTAGGAAGAAGGACAATAACGTCTTTCCCCTTGCTAAAATTCACCAAACATTCTCTTTGTTCCAACTTTAAATCCTCGATCTCTGGAATCTTCGCCAACACAGAATGTCTGTCTTCGTCTACATTCATCTCGACGCTTTGTTTACTGTTGTGCTGCTCCACAAAAGGGACACAGACAGACGCGACGAGTTTGACGTCATGACTTCACAGCTCTTCCCTGATCGGTCGGTGCACGGTCTACAACTTCCAGGATTTTTGCAAACCGTCTAGTGCAGACATGTCAAACTCATGGGCCAAATTTGGCCTACGAGATAATTATATTTGTCTCGCGAGATCATATCAAATATATTAGAGCTGCCCACCGACTACAGAACAACTATAGAGACATTATTTAAAATGTTGTTTTTATTTTATATTCTGCTTGTTCTGGATTCAATGTTTAAGCAAAACCTTTATAAAACATTTATTTTAATAAGAAAAGGTTTAATATTACATGTCTCGAAAGAAGAGAAAACAGGCAGATGTTGTTGAAATTTTTCAATAAATATTTAGTTTGGCCCACTACTTCGTCCCGGTTTTTAATTTTGGCCTCTGTGAATTTGAGTTTGACTCTCCTGATCTAGTGTATTCCGATTCCTGACCGATTCGCTGGAGAGAAATTAAATTGAGAAATTAAATTAAACACAACTCCAACTGATTATTTTAGATTTAAAGATGTTTACTGAGCATCTCCTCTGTCAAATCACTGCACAAGTTTACAGCAAAATTTAAACCCGGACATAAAAATGTAATGACAGTGTCTTAATAATTAATTATTTTCCACTAACATGAATTATACAGATCTGAAGTCATTAAATAAGAGTCTGCAGCCACTAAACCAGCACAAAAACACGTCTGAACCAGGACTGTACAAGAACAAACCAGGTCTGAACCAGGACTGTACAAGAACTAAACCAGGTCTGAAACAGGACTAGGGGTTTGCTTCAGGGGTCAGTTTTGGGACCTTTGCTGTTTCTGATCTTCTTACACCCCCTGCTGGTCATGACTGCAGGATTTTTATTTTATTTTTATTTTTTCACTACTGGGCTTTTAATTTGAAAGTCCACAGTGAATCCTCTGTCAGTGAATTGGTTTGATTGGTTGGTTTGGCAGCGGTTTGGGGCACACAGACTTTGGAGGAAGAAATGGAGCTATTTTTGAGCTCTGATTAAAAGACGGTTTTGTTTATGTCCATGAAATCAATACTGAAAGCTTTTTATTTAAAGAAAATCAAATCTAAAGTTCATCAATATGAGTATATCCTTCAGCACTAAATCCAAACTCAGAGAAATGAGTTCTATCTGCAAAAAGATGAGCCTCAGTCCTGGTTCAGGCCTGGTTTGGTCCAGATTTTAGTTCTGGTTTAGTCCTGGTTTAGTCTTGATTCAGTCCTGGTTTAATCATGGTTCAGTCCTAGTTTAGTCCTGATTTAGTCCTGGTTCAGTCTTGGTTTAGTCTTGGTTTAGTCCTGGTTCAGCCCTTGTACAGTCCTGGTTCAGTCCTGGTTTACTCCCAGTTCAGTCCGGATTTAATCTGGATTCAGTCCTGCTTTAGTCCCAGTTTAGTCTTGATTCAGTCCTGGTTCAGTCTTGATTCAGTCCTGGTTTATTCCTAATTCAGTCCTGGTTTAGTTCTGGTTCAGTCTTCATTCAGTCCTGGTTTAATCATGGTTCAGTCTTAGTTTAGTCCTGGTTCAGTCCCAGATCAGTCTTGATTCAGTCCTGGTTCAGTCATAGTTCAGTCCTGAGTCAGTCCTGGTTCAGTCCTGAGTCAGTCCTGGTTTAGTCATGGCTTAGTCCTGGGTCAATCCTTGGTCAGTCTTGATTCAGTCCTGGTTTAGTCCTGGTTCAGTCCTGGTCCGGTTTATAAGAGTGGATTTCCTCGAGGTTTATTTGAGTTTTTCCTGCAGGTGGAGGCTCTGAGGACAGGGGGCGCTCTGGTACAATCATCCATTTACTTGTTTTCTATTATTTAATCTGTTTGTTTCTGTCCAATGACTTTTTCACTGTTTCCAACTTTCTTAAAACATAAATCAGATCTTTTGTAAAACCCCTGTGAGGCCAGTGCTGTTGTGATTCTGGACTATACAAAGATTAAAGGTCCAGTACCTGATTTTAATTTCCTTTTGCAGAGATAAATGGGCTTTATATTTTGCAGAGTGTAAATGCAGATAACTGGAGGAAAAGAGACAAGAGTCCTGTTTATTTTACAAAGCAACTTATGCGTGATAAATATTCAAGAAAGTACTGACAGGACCACCTTTTTTAAATCAGGTAATCATGGGAAACAAGACGCCTGTCAGAGTCCTGCACGGGGCCATTTTTGGAGACCTGAACCTGTGCAGTACAGCACCACACCCGCGTTAACCTGTGATTATATCAAAGTTAAATCCGCACCCGCCCGGACCCGTCTACATTCCACCTGTTACCCGCCCGTGCCTGTGATAAATCAGGGTCAACCCATTAGTCCGACAACCCAGTAGTCCAGGACTAAACCAGGTCTAAACCAGGACTAAACCAGGACTAAACCAGGACTAAACCAGGACTGAACCTACGCCGTGTCATTAGTGGATTGTAAACACACACATGCCGCAACCGCCGAGCCGATCCCCAGGACTACACCAGGAATGGACCAGGACTGAACCAGGTCTAAACCAGGATTACACCAGGACTGAACCGGGTCTAAACCAGGTCTAAACCAGGTCTGAAACAGGCCTAAACCAGGTCTGAAACAGGCCTAAACCAGGACTACACCAGGACTGAACCAGGACTACACCAGGTCTAAACCAAGACTATACCAGGACTAAACCAGGTCTAAACCTGGACTTAACCAGGTCTAAACCAGGACTACACCAGGAGTAAACCAGTGTCATTAGCATAAATATATACACGTTGCAACCGCTGAGCCAATAGCTAGGACTACACCAGGCCTGGACCAGAACTACACCAGGACTAAAACAGGACTAAACGAGGTCTAAACGAGGACTCAACCAGGTCTAAACCAGGACTTAACCAGTGTCATAAGCATAAAATATATACACGCTGCAACTGCTGAGCCGATCGCTAAGACTATACCAGGACCGGACCGGGACTGGACTAGGATTAAACCAGGTCTAAACCAGGACTTAACAAGGTCTAAACCAGGAGCGCAGTCATCAAGCCAATCACTTTCGCTGATGGTTTTATGTGGTAAAAAACACTAAAAGTCTCTCTCTCAGTCTGGTCCATTGTTCTGAGAAAAGACTGGAAATGTCACTTGTTTCCAGGGCAACGGACGTCCTGGACACGCGTCAAGCATTTTTCTCCCATTCATCCTACATTTCACTCCCCGCCCGTAAAATTCCAGAACATGGTATAAAAGACTAAGTGGGCGGGGCTACAGTTCAGACTCAAACATGTTCCTCATTCAGGGTTTAAATCAGGTCTAGTCCCTTTAATTTTTTTGCGTTTTACTGAAGCCGTCTCTCCTCTCCACAGCTGTGCACCCGGGCGAGCTGAGGCCGTCTCTGCCATGAAGTCCAAGAAGTCCCAGTCCCCGTCCCCGTCCCAGCGCCGTCGGTCCTGCTTCAGCCTGAGGGGGCGCAAGAAGAAGGGCGGGGCCATCCGGGGCAAGCTGCGTATGCGCTCTCTGCCTGGGGCCTTCATCCTGCTGGGCCTCCTGGTGGTGGTGGTGGGTACTGCGCTGGCCGTGGCTGGGTACTGGCCCTACAGGCTGTCCAAGGCCGCGCTGGTGACCGAGGGGGAGGAGTCGCCGTCCGGGTGGAGCGTCGGAGCCAAGGGTCTTCTGTCTTCAGCCAGAGGTGAGGTGTATAGTACTGTAAAAAAGAGTCGATTTATTAACTTATCTAGACTATTGGCTTACATCTTGCCAGTCTGGGCTGATAGTCCACGTGGGCAGGTTATACCTCATTATAAATCTTAGACTCTCTATATTATGTCCATTTAATCTAATTTACAGGCAGATGAATGTCCCAATATTTGGCGCCGCATCAGTATTTATCTGCAGAGTCATTTGTCTGTGTGTGTGACGCCGTACTGCCCCCGAACGCACCTCCATAGTCACTTTTCATGCATGTTTCCACCCGTGCACAGCCATAGATCCATGTGCAACAACACTGAGGCACTGCTTTAAATTACCTTGTATCTGATCAACAATACTGACGATAAATATAAGTGAACTTCAGCGCAGTTTAGGCCAGAAACTAAACTACTGCTTGTTTTGATCAAAGTGCGAGTGTGGAGCAGAGAGGACTGTCCCTAAGCCAGAGGACATAGACTGACAATATTCTAGATTCTATTATTTTTTACAAGGGACATAAAAGGACATTTAGAAGTGCAGACTTGTGATCTGAGAGGAGCCTGTGTCGGTTTTGAAGTTAGTTTTCTTTCTTTCTTGTTGTTTAGCTCTTAGCTGCTGTAGCTCCCACACATAAACACATAAAGTCTATTTCCTTAGTGTTTTCTAGGCCTTGTGTAAAGTGACTATAGTGTTTGTAGATGTTACTGGACCTGCACTGATATGTAAATGAGCTGTGAATAGAGGTGTGAATGATTGGCATTTACACATATAATTAATTACCGCAGCGTGCGCAGCATTTACCGCTAAAGGCTGATAGTGGTAGTTTACTTATTTTATTTACTGGCTAGAATGTGATGCAAAATACCATTAGGTCGACCTACTGTCTTTAATTACGACATAAAGAGGCAGAATAACAATAAATGTCGCCTAAACAAACCCGATACTGCAGTATTTTTTCACTCCGTTTATGGCTGGGCAGTTTAACAAGTTTTAATATTTACAGTTTGGCATTAAACCTCTTTTGTTTAATTGCAAAATAATCTTGTCTTTCCTCTGACCTGTAACTTGGCCTGGATTAAGATTTAATTTAATGCCATACTAAAAAAAATAAAAAATTAGGCAAAGCTGTACCATTACACTGAAGGTGTTCTGCATGTATGTCTATGATGGAATATTCAGCAGTTACCGTAGTGACACAACACACACATTTGCAAACACTACCAAAAAAGTTTTAAGTCAGGGGTCTCAGACTCGCGGCCCGGGGGCCAACTGCGGCCCGCGGAAGGATTTTTTGCGGCCCTCCACTTGATTCCAAAGAATAATGTCAGTGCGGCCCGCGGTAGACGTACGCACAATCCCACCCCCCTACCGCGGGCCGCACTGACAGATGAAGCTGCAGTCGGTGCCCATGCAGATTCACAACAGATTATTAACGCAGTTTACATCCCAAAACTCAATTTACAGCAGTTGTGAAGCAACGAGTCTAAGTGGATCTGTTAATACAAGTACACGTGCACATACGGCGGTCACCGAAGAACCAAAAACAAACCACACGTGGTGGTACACGTGTGAGCACTTCACTTTACGCTCCCACAACCACAGCATCAGAGCAGAGGAGACGCTGACAGAATCCTCCTGTTCATAAGTGTGGGACCTTTATTGGAGGGGCTAATAAGAAATAAAAAGACTTTTGACAGTCTGTTTACCTGTTCAACACTCGGTGCGTAACTTGCTGGCAACTCGATGACCAAGCTCCACGTATGTGTCACCGAAATCCACGCGCACTCAGCGGCAAACACAGCTGTCCCATCAATATGCAAGCACCACAAAACTGCAGTGATCTATTCCAGAGGCTTGGCGACATGTTAGCAAAAAGTACGAGGCAAAAACAAGCGTCTTCCATCCATGTTTGACATACGAGAAGCAGATACACTCCAGTGTGGCGCTTTCACACCGGCAAACGAACCAAAACTGGTCCGATTAATGAACCTCTGTATCCCGGTAGAACAGTGATATCTCCAGTAACTAATACTGATGTTCCCTGTTAATACCGCGGGCGTCCTCATCTCAAATTATTATCATGAACTCATAAAACAGCAACGTAGAACTTTGTACAAACTCACCGCATCAGCCCAGAGTTCGGGTAACAGCAGAAGCCAACAGCGCTCTCCGTAGCGCGCAGCTCCTCAGGACGGCGCTGGAGTCTGGTTCTTGGTCTTCTGTCGTCCTACAAGCGCGTTGGTCAGATGGTCCGGAGGCTCCATCCTCCCATGTGCTGGTTCCAGACAGTGGCGAGCAAGACCAGTGCACAATGATTCGGTCTGAGCGGGTACGTTCCGCCGTCTGCGCGCTGGTTCCGTGTTCCGTGCGGGGAAAGTGAGAAGGCGCTGTGGACTGTACCTACAGGTCTGTGCTGCTCCTGTCCTCCGCGCTCAAGAACCGCGGCTGGTTCCGAGGTGGTGCAAAGCATCCGGACAGAACGTGAATCCAGTTTAGTTGGTGTCCGCATTTGGTTCTTCCGGGAAAAGCGCTTTTCACTCCCCGCTCCACGTCATCTGAGCCCGGACAGAACCGGAGCTGCTCCCGCTGGTTCGGGACTCTGGTTTGGATCTAGTCCGACTGTATTTCTCACACTAGGGCTAAAAGCAGGACATTTTTTTAAAGGTGAATCAACTGAATGGGCGATTGCCTATTGCCATAAAATTCTTTGATTAATTAAAGCCTAAAATAACAAATGCTGGTCCTACATGATCACGGGGAACACGGGGACCTCTGTGCAGGTCCTGAACAGAAGTACACACCCCCATTTTTGACTCACTCTGGAGCCACACGTTCGCACGTACTTGCTCTGATCTTCGTGTATTACATTCTCTGTATTGGCCATTGTTGGTAAAATATTTCGAAAATGAATCGCGGCTGCGTCTGGAAAACAATCTGTTATTGCGCTGGAGTCGTACAGCGCGTCATTACAGGCAGGAGACGCGTTTCTCCCATGATGCATCTAGAATAGTTCCTTTGGACCTGCTGTGTATGGTTTGGACCCGGGTTCGCGTTCACACCAGAAGAACACACGCACCAAATGACCAACTTTGGTGCGGATTCAAGCGAACCGAGACCACCTCTTTTTGAGTCTCGGTCCACTTGAGTTGGTCCGGGTCAGAGTCCGATTGACGCTTTCACACCAACGCAAACGACCTGAGCTAACCACTTCTGGTTCGAATGGATCGTTTGGTGCGCACCAAATACTGTCGGTGTGAAAACACCTAATACAGGTCAAGGCTCACTGATGAGCATCTTCAATCTATCCTGAGGATCTCATACGCTTCCTCCTGCAAGCCAAATATCTCTCAGCTGTACAAGATGAATCGTTGCCAGGTTTCAACCAGCAAGAAGTAGGCAAAAGAAGAAGAGTAGACGTATCAGTTTAAACTTACGTTCTGAATACATTTTCATGTTCTGAACTGTTATTAAAGATTAAGAAAGTGTGTTGCGTGTTGTTCTGTCTCTCTCCTTTTTTCCCGTGCAGCCGCTATTTATCGAATACTCAATGCGGCCCAGCCTCACTCAGACTTTATCTAATGTGGCCCCCAGTAATTTGAGTTTGAGACCCCTGTTTTAAGTTCTTTTAAGCTGAGAACTCAAGAAATAAATGCAAAATGGATTTAGACAACACATTTTCAAGAGCCTCTGATCAGTATGAGCATTCATACACTGATTTGAGTGTTTTTTGTTTTGTTTTATTTTTTTAAACAAAAAATGGTACGAGTGATTTACTGAAAAACTGTTGGCAAATGTAATATTTTTTGAGAATGACTTGTTTGGCAGTACAAAATCAGCTCTCAGTTTCAGTCAGTTTTTTTTGGTCAGATTGTGTGAAACATCGCTGAAATTTATGGTTAAAGCTTCAGACGGAGCAGTGCGTCTAGTTAGCGTCACACTCCCAGAGAATGTTGGTAACTTCAGTTGTAGAATCTCCAAAAAGTCACACACCGCACCTTGAATTTTCACAGTAAAACTCGCATTTCCACACTTTTTGCCAAGCGTGATTTCAATATTGCGTCTAAAATAACAAACTGCATTTTCAATTTGATTTTCATCTCATCTATTTACCTCCTGAACTCTGCCAATTTTCCCGCTCACTTCTGTAATAATCACTCGTTTACGGCGAATCAACGTAATCATCGCTTTCGGTACGAACGTCAGACAAAATCCTGCAAATGCTCCCAGACAAACAGCTTCTACCCGGTCCACTTGTCAGACTTTATTCAGTACAAAATCCCGTACACTTCATTTGCCGGTTTGCATAATTTTGAGGAGGTACATGCATTATTTAATACCCCGAGGCCCGGTGAAATGCAGGCGGCAGCAGCGGAGGCAGAGGCAGCAGAGTGCATGCTGGGAGAGGGGCTGTGCCGGGCTCGGGCTCTGGCTCCGTTTGTGCCTACACTGCACTGCGATTGTTGTAACGGAGGCAGGTTTTCTACGGGGCGAATGTGCTGCGAAATGAAGCCGCAGCTGCAAAAGTGCAACGTCGTTTTCGTTTAGAAGCAACTTTACGAGCAACTTTTCCAATTAGTACAAGCCTGGAATTGTAAATGTTTGTTATTAAAGCTTCTGTATTACACGAAAATTTACTCTTGTGAGCTTTAAAAGTGTGTATCTTTTCTGGTGGAGTTTTTTTTTTTTCCATGTTATTGCTTTGTCTGGAATGTTTCGCAGTATGGCTTTAAACCTTTCTATCGTCATGGAACCCAAACCAGACCAAGTTACAGGTCAGATCTGTGGAGAGGCGACCCGGTTCACAGTCAAAATGCAGTTTTTTGAGGTATTTTTGAGCTGTAAATCCAACTGCACTTGTAGGGAGTATTATCTGTTACATAAAGGTGAGTGGAATGGTTGTAGGGAGTATTATCTGTTACATAAAGGTGAGTTGAACGGTTGTAGGGAGTATTATCTGTTACATAAGAGTGAGTTATTGTGCAGTTGTAGGGAGTATTATCT